GCATGCTGCACAACACCTTGTCCAAGCTCTTCTTCTATTCAGACTGGACTATTATAATGCTCTCTTGGCAGGTCTTCCAGCTTGTACTATCAAACCTCTAAAACTGATCCAGAATGATGCAGCTAGAGAGGTCTTTAAGGAGCCGAAAATAATTTTCTTTCGCCGCTCGCATCAAATTCAAGGCACTGATGTTTGCCTACAGAACAACCACTAGCTCTGCACCCGTAAACCTAAACTCACTACTTCAGACCTATGTGCCCTCCAGAAGCTTGCGTTCTGCAAGTAAATGGCGCCTTGTGGTACCATACCAAAGAGGCACAAAATCCCTTTCACAGACCTTTACCTGAACTGTTCCCTGCTGGTGGCATGACCTGCATAACTCAACCCGAGCTGCTGAGTCTTTAGCCATTTTCAAGAATCTGCTGAAGACACATCTCTTTCGGCAACACTTGACCCATTAATACGAACACTTACTGTTCTATATCTATAAAAAAACAACAACAACAGCAACAACAACCTTGCTACGTGTACTGTGCTGCACTAACTAGGACTGGTCACAGCAATTGCATATTGCTGCCCTATTGTTAGCTTGATTGCTTCTATTGCTCTCCTCATTTGTAAGTCGCTTTGGATAAAAATGTCTGCTAAATGATTAAATGTAAGAAAATACATTTGTACACTGAAAAAATGTGAGTGTTTTCCCATGCAAATCTCACCATCATGGGCTCTGTTTACACCTGGTATTAAGATGCATTTTGGTCGATCGGATTGCAAGTGGACGACACTAAATACAGGTGTAAAAGGGGTCTAAAACGCTTTGACCTTGTCCACTTTCAACCACCTCCAGAGGGAATCGAAAATGCATTTGACCGGATTGCTTTTATAGTGTAAAAGCTCATTTGGTTGAATATGTTTGGACAGCCAAAAAAGACCGCCTACTCTCCGCCTACTGACTTGATGTGTAATCATTATGGGAGGCGCGATAGCCAGACAGGATTTAAACTTTGTCAGATGCTTTGGTTTGAAGACGAAAAACATACCAGGCACAATGTTGTCGTACCATTCCTGATTCGTTGCACTCAATGCGTTCGGTGTGGTCTTGCAGCTGTCAGAGCAGAAATGAAATGTTTTTTCGTCGTCTCCTTTCATGTAAATTTCATATGTAATGAAATTTCATATGACTCCTTTCATATGTAAATTGCGTGAGCTTATTTCATCCATTAGATTGAAAGATCTGTAAATACTCATGCATGTACATGACCCTCCCCTCGAAGAAATCAGGACAGAAGTGGTTGAAAGTGGACAAAAGAGACGGATTAAAACACCATGTGTAAACAGGAATGTGTCTCCCTCGTCTACTTGTGATCTGATCGATCAAAACTCAGGTGTAAAGCAGGTGTAAACAGGGCCATGATGAAAGGGTGTTGTCGGTGGTTACCAGGGCATTACTATGTAGTTGCTAAGGTGTTTGGAGTTGTTTTTATCTAGTCTACACGTAGTCATATATGAGCCTTGATCTTTTCGATGGGTTCAAAATCCCCAAGGAAATCTTCAGTAGTTGCTGTTGATTTGTTCCATTTGGCTCCATCATGATCTAAACAGACTCTCTTTCTCTCTCACACACACACACGCACGCACACACACACACAGCGCTTTGACCATGGGGATGAATGAAGATCTACCCAGGTGACTTTGTCTCTCTGACCTGTTCTGGCCCACTGCTCTTCTTATCTAGCGATTCATCCTCAAGACCTCTGCCAGTATTTGTTCTGACATTTTAATTAAAATAGTACTAGCTCATTCCTGTGATAAAAAGGCTGTGTGTCGCCCAGCGGGGCCCCGCGTCTCGCACCCTCCGCTGTGCCGGCCACGCACCTGAGCACACATGCTTACACACACACAAAGAAACAATTATAACATTTCTATTTTGTTGAGCCGCAGAAGTACTTAAATTCACAACAAGAATCGATATAAAAAGGCAATGGTTGAAAGGAGAGTATGTGCATGATGGGAAAGTGATAAAGATTAAAGGTGTGGGGAGATGATGGCTGATAAAGAGAGATTGAGTTTGTTAGATGGAGTGAGGAAGGTTGAAGATGCCGTGGACTTGATGACCTTGATCTTACAGCCATGAAATACAGTCATCTTACCATCACACTTATTCTGGAGTCAAGACACTATTATTACACAAATTTTGATAAATTGGCACATTTTAGGAATCGTCAATTATGACATGAAGCTATAGGAAAGGATCAGTGTCAAGAAATGAAATCAAGTCCAGCTACAAACTAGTCTAGTAGCTAAACTTAAACAAAATTAAATCGTATTAAATCGGCTTAGTGGAATTATTTATTTGCAAAGACTGCAATTTAATTAAATAAATATATGCACTGCGTGTTTAAAAAGTGAAGGGCGGCACTGTGTTCTTTTACACACAAGCAGCTCATGATCTGGTGTTAGCAGTGTCTCAGATGCTACGCCACAAAAACTCATTTCTACATGTGCTCGGAGTATGGGTCGCTTATAACGTGCATTTGGGAACGCAAAACCAATGTGCCAACCATCTTCCCAAACCTGTCATGAAAAGTGCATATAAAACAGCTGTTGTCAACAAAAGAGAAGATTTTAAATTAGGGCTCCCTGCGGGTTTATGGCAAAATAAACCAAGTCTGCTCACTGCAGAGCCAATGGGTGGAGCTTGACATCCAGTTCCGCCTCTCTGGACCTCAGTTGAGCTAGAAGGTCCAACCACACCCTAACGCCCGTTTCACACATACTCCGTTTGCAGTGCGTATGCGGTGCGTATTTTTTTCCGTACCCATGTTAACAGGTTAGAGCTTTCACACTGCACGCGGATGCGGTCCGTCGATCCGTTCCAGTTGCGGTGCGTATACAGCAGTGCAGAGATCGTTTCCGCACCGAGTCTATTTCTGCTGTGCTGCAAATGCTGAATTAAAGTGACAGCGCACGGTTCGTGGTCAAAATGAACACAGACTGACCTGAATATGTAGTAATTTCACCATAAATGCATTTAATTCAATAAAATGTAGTAATCTCACCATAAATGTATTTAATTAAATAAAATGTAACCATAAATGCATTTAATTAAATACTACTTTTTTCACAGTCATATTTTTACTTTAAGACCGGGGTAAAGCAAAGAAAGCTACAATTTACTTCAACAAGGCCACATAATGAACGACACTCGTCTCATTCGTTGAGGTGGAAAAACAAGTTATTTGTGACATGCAAGATTTATTGTATACAGATTTGAATTATGCAAAAGAAAAGGTATGAGTCTGCTGTTTTTGTCAATTTTAAGTTTTAATTTAAAATGTTTGCGATTTTAATATAAGTACATGGTTAAATATGTTACCACTTGCTTGAGCAACTTAATATATAATCTAGGCCTATATAAAAGTAATGCATTGAATAATACGTTGTTTAAATTGTGTTTTAAACGTGAATAGGCCTACAAAGAGAATTGCACTGGAGGCAAAAACTTTTGCTGCTGATAACTTGATTTGATTGATGATTTTTTGAAATACAAATAGTGAGTAAATGTGTTTGTGGTACAGCCGCGGATCAGTTGCGCACTGCAAACGCACGCAGCATATGTGAAAGCACTATAGCGCGTGCTGCTCCTGTACCGCATACGCACCGCAACACGCACCGCATACGCACTGCACACGGAGTATGTGTGAAACGGGCGTAACCCTTTAACCTTAAACATATCCCTCAACAGGTTAATTCACAGAAGTGGAGCTGGACTAGGTCAAGCTCCACCCATTTGGATCTGCAGTGAGCACTACTTGAAATCAAAAGCTCAATAGTTTAACGTTTGAAAATGAAGAAATTAAGAAAGCCATAAATATTAGTATTTTAATTTTACAGTTATATTATTTTTCATTTTACAGTGAAATATTACAATAGTAATACCTCTTAATTTTTTAAAATAATTTTCTTTAATAAAAAATATTATTTTTTAATTTAGTAATAATAATCATTAAATTTTTTTCATAAAATGATATAGAATCACAACATTCTTTGGATAAAAAAAAAATGCAATCACAATTTTTCTAAGAAAAATCTCCATAGGTTTTCCCCCCTAAATCATGCAATCCTTCACAGAGGAAAAAGTCGTTCCAACGCTTGTCTTTTCTCAGATGCGGTTAATTGAGATTGATTCGATTAATTAATCAGCACATAATGTAATTATTTTTTTTAATCTTTTGACAGCCCTATTTGAAACGCCTGAATTTACACTGAACTCAACTAATAACACTAAAATAAAATGTATTAAAATATAAAAAATATTTATTTATTTACAAAACAGCCGATGTAAGATGCGGGCATCTGGGAACACTATTGAGTAATGACTTCAATAAATAATTTTTTTAATCTACTGATTGAAATCAAACATCTAAATGAACCATCTAAAATGAATGAAACCACTTCAATAACACAAGAAAAAAGTGTCTGGAAAAAAAATACTTAGCTACTACACAGACATTTTACCACGACTATCACCAACATGCGTACAACTAACATAAACTGATTTATCTAATCTTTCCAAACTCACAATGTGATTCCACCCTTATGATCTGAAGGTAGATTGTGAGGTCGTATGTGACAGGTTGTGCTCAGATTCACTCTGAAGGAGCCAAGCAGACCCTGACAGAGCATAATGGGAATCAATGGGAGCAGCGCCTGGCCCCTGCCTGCCACACCACCATCAATATCAATCACTGTTATCGCCAATAACGTCTCCATGTAAGCCCTTCGCTGAATGTCACAGCAATACCAGATCTTTCTTTAAAGAGAGGAAGAGATGATCTCTCTTTGACACGGGCGGCAAGGTTAGTTAAGTACTGTTAGCAGGACGTATAGCGGATCTGTGTGTGCAATCGGAGGTCAATGCGCAAAAGGACTGAAGATGTTAATGGGTTTAAATGACGGGGAGATTTAATTGGAAGTTAAAGAGCTGGGTCAGGTCTTACCTCCAGAAGGTTCCTCTCCAGGAATGGCGGGAACGTCAAACAATTGAGATACAACTGGAGCAAGATCTTCTTGGGCCGTACCAGAGGATGAACAGGTCAAGTGGACCAAATCTGTTAAAAGAGACCACAACAAGACAGTTTAGGACAATTAAGGTGGGCATAATCTGTACATTTGGTTTCGCATTGTTCAGAAAAACTGTTCTTGGGATATTAGGATATTAGGCGTAATGGAATTTATACTGAGCTACTGACATTTTCTAGCCCCTAACCCTAAATCTACCCATCACAGAAGTTTATTTAGCGTTCTGAACTACAAAGACCTTGGCATGTCCTCATAGTGTAGCCTGAAACATGAATACACACTACAGTTTAAGGACTCATAATGTAGGTCAAACCACTGTGCGCACACAATTTTTTTCTAGGCAAGTTTTAATTTTTAATGCTTAAAAAAAAATTCTTCATCATAACAATCAGGACGAAATTTTCTTTGATAAATGAACAGGATCAGAACTAAAGCTGCCTGCATATAAGCTGCATTAGGCAACATGTCTGAGCATGCTCACTTTACTGGCAAAAACTTAAAATTGCTTAAAGGTGCAGTATGTAATATTGACAGCTAGTGGCTGGAATGGGTACTGCAGTCTCAAAATATTGGAGAGAGTCGTTTCTCCCTCCTCAGACTCGATGCTCGCGCGGGTTGCCATATTGAGGACACGCAACAGAAGCGAGCGCAATTGACAATGGAAAGCGACGAGCCTTACACTGTAAGCTGGTCAGATAATATATCTGTTTTAATATGCCTCTGTTCATTGAGCTGTTTAGATGGATGCTGAGGCTTTTTAAGGTTTTTAAGGAATCTGTGATCTCTGACCCAGTTCAATTGCTGGCTTCCATGGCTTACGTTTTCCACCAACTGGCAACCCAGGGTGTCGAAATGCATTCTGTTGTAACTAGTGTTGTCAAAAGTACCGACTTCGGTACCAAATCAGTACTGAAATTAAAAAAATGTGCTGATACCAGCATTTCTTTCTAGCATTTTGAGCGCTGTTGAATGGATTCTTAAACACCTCTGATTGGACATTGTGTTCACGCGCTCAACATATATGTCTGTGATTGGCTACAATAAACAATGGTTCAAAAACATGTTGTAAATACCGAGCGCTTACACATAGACACGGGATCGTTTTAAAGCAGGCATCTATCAGTGGATCCGTCAATCAGTGGATCTATTATATATATATAGATGATAGATGCCTGCTTTCAAATGCTCCCGTGTGTATCTGTGATCATTTAGGTCACAGATCCCGTGTCTATTTAGGTTTTGGAGCGTTGAAGCATTGATCATTGTAGCCAATCGCAGACATATACACTCACCGGCCACTTTATTAGGTACACCTGTCCAACTGCTCGTTAACACTTAATTTCTAAGCAGCCAATCACATGGCGGCAACTCAGTGCATTTAGGCATGTAGACATGGTCAAGACAATCTCCTGCAGTTCAAACCGAGCATCAGTATGGGGAAGAAAGTTGATTTGAGTGACTTTGAACGTGGCATGATTGTTGGTGCCAGAAGGGCTGGTCTGAGTATTTCAGAAACTGCTAATCTACTGGGATTTTCACGCACAACCATCTCTAGGGTTTACAGAGAATGGTCCGAAAAAGAAAAAACATCCAGTGAGCGGCAGTTCTGTGGGCGGAAATGCCTTGTTGATGCCAGAGGTCAGAGGAGAATGGCCAGACTGGTTCGAGCTGATAGAAGGGCAACAGTGACTGAAATAACCACTCGTTACAACCGAGGTATGCAGCAAAGCATTTGTGAAGCCACAACACGCACAACCTTGAGGCGGATGGGCTACAACAGCAGAAGACTCCACCGGGTACCACTCATCTCCACTACAAATAGGAAAAAGAGGCTACAATTTGCAAGAGCTCACCAAAATTGAACAGTTGAAGACTGGAAAAATGTTGCCTGGTCTGATGAGTCTCGATTTCTGTTGAGACATTCAGATGTTAGAGTCAGAATTTGGCGTAAACAGAATGAGAACATGGAACCATCATGCCTTGTTACCACTGTGCAGGCTGGTGGTGGTGGTGTAATGGTGTGGGGGATGTTTTCCTGGCACACTTTAGGCCCCTTAGTGCCAATTGGGCATCGTTTAAATGCCACGGCCTACCTGAGCATTGTTTCTGACCATGTCCATCCCTTTATGGCCACCATGTACCCATCCTCTGATGGCTACTTCCACCATGTCACAAAGCTCTAATCATTTCAAATTGGTTTCTTGAACATGACAATGAGTTCACTGTACTAAAATGGCCTCCACAGTCACCAGATCTCAACCCAATAGAGCATCTTTGGGATGTGGTGGAACGGGAGATTCGCATCATGGATGTGCAGCCGACAAATCTGCGGCAACTGTGTGATGCCATCATGTCAATATGGACCAAACTCCCTGAGGAATGCTTCCAGCACCTTGTTGAAACTATGCCACGAAGAATTGAGGCAGTTCTGAAGGCAAAAGGGGGTCCAACCCGTTACTAGCATGGGGTACCTAATAAAGTGGCCGGTGAGTGTATGTTGAGCGCGTGAACACAATGGCCAATCAGAGACATAAGCCACGTTTCCACCGTAGGAACCTTCCCCAGGAACTAGTGACTTTGGGTTGGTATTTCGACTGCAGGAACCAGGGTCTAAATGAAGTTCCGGGTAAAAATCCCCCTCCCCAGTAAGTCCCTGCTCGCGAGGTAGTACTTTTTCAAAGTTGAGGACCTTTCGGGGGTTGGACTTGGGCGCTGAACATGCTGATTGGTTGACTCCACACAGCATTTTATTTCAACCACCGTTTTTAAAAGTCTGTTGCGGTGCGCGCAGTAAGAGTTGTTTGCTATTCGAATCAACAATGGAGTTGATTCGAATAGCAAAATACGTCCTATGGACCGACGACGAGGTTCAGGCTTTATTAAACTTAAATGCGGAGGACGAAATCCAGAGGGAACAGGAAAGTCATGCGCAGTCCTACATCACCGGACTAATTTGCCTAATCTTCACGGTACTTTAGACCGCGATGGAAACGTAGACAGCAACAGGTCTGGGGGGAAAAAAGTTCCTGGGACAAATTTTTTTCGGTGGCTATATATATTAAGTGCGTGAACACAATGGCCAATCAGTGGTGTTTAAGAATCCGTTCAACAGCGTTTAAAATGCTAGAGGGAAATGGTGGTATCGTCACATTTTCAAAATTTCAGTACCAACTTTTGACAACACTACACGGAATTCACATTTCAAAGTAGAATAACTGGCGTTTAGCTTTTTCCTAAATATCTGCAAACCTATTATGGTATTTTTATGCTTAACTACAGTAAAAAACAACAACATAAAAGCACCTCTAAACAAGTATGACAAACTGGGCTAACATCCCAATCTTAGAAGAACTACAGTAAGACTCTGGCCTTCCATGAAAGTAGCCCTGAAATTGATCCAGAGGGGAAAAGAAGAAACGGGCACCAAAATTCAAATCAAAACAACAAATCTCAATTCTCATAAAGGTCTGACAAGTTCTACTAGTGGGATGTGTAGAAATGTCCTGGGTAATCCCAAGAGTTCACACACACCACTTCCAGGCTTATCATTACTTCTCCGGTGTTCCTTCCTATGGTCTGTGTTACGTGGGAGTGTGTGCGCGTGAGGATCAAAGAGAACAATTCGAGTGCAGGCAGCTCAGGGCGGCACACAGGCTCCGTGTCACACAGTGGAGAGGTGCACAGATGTAGGCATCTCCAGTGGGACAGGAGGAGCAGCTTCACTAAAGGCTCTAAAAACACACGGGACTGCAGAGTTTTGAAAAAGATTCTCTCCACTGCCAAAGACATTCCGGGGGCTGATTTGAAAAAGTCCTGGATAGTTCAAAGTGAACACTTGCAGTACAGGTGGATTCACAATATATCCAGTAATGGACATGTAATACTCCATTTTGAATTTTGAAGAAAATAAACAATATCTTTTTCTGTTCTATTTGAATGGACTTTTGTGGAGTACATGGATAAAAAAAAAAAAAAAAGTTTTTTTCTGTAATTTATTGCGATTAATCAAAACTAACATTAACATTTGCAATATATTTTCGTGTTGTAATACATATTTTCACATTGAATCTCCAAAATTAAGGTAGAAATTAGTGTCGATTATCAATTCGAGCGCCAGTCCGATGATGAGACATTGGAAGAACTAGTTATTCAACCCGAACCTCCACCGCAAGGACGGCTTGAGCAGGACATTACTCAGTGATCCGTTTTTACTCAGATTGTCGTACATTATGAGATGCCTCTATCAGCATCAACAAGTGTATTTCCATCAACAAACTGCTTTATCTATCAAACCGTTTCAGACACTATGAGAAAGGAGGTGATGCTGCAATTTATATCGTGAAAAAATGAAAGTGTTTTTTGACCTTTTAAGCATGTGAACCTGTTGTAGGAGACCTCCAAAACAAAATTAGGAACCTTTAAAATAGCATAATAGGGGCACTTTAAGTCCTCCCTTCACGAATATCCTCTGATTGAAGCTTAAAGGGCCTTAGTAACATGAAGAAAGTATGGGGCCTATTCTGATTTTATATTGATTTTTAAAGGTAAAGTATGCATTTATTTGTTAAAATACTAATCTTTCAATACTTAGGGTATACTAAGGGGTCCTATTATGATTTTTCTTTTTTTCTTTTGACATTTGCAGCTTTTTTTTTTAGTGTGTAATGTTGTTGTTTGAGCATGAAAAAGGTCTGCAAAGTTATAAAGCACAAAGTCACTCCAAAGGGAGTTTTTGTCTATATCATTAAGCACAGTTTCTGAACATTTACATTTAAATAATTCCTGCCCAGGGCACACACAAAATAAAGGCATGGTTGAGTTGCGTTAGTAGTGTGTTGAAACTTGCGGTTAAGGTCAGGGGTGTGACATTTCCCAAACACGCTCGAAGCGGTTGACCAATCACAACACACTGGCCCAGCCGACCAATCAGAGCACATTGCGCTTTTCAGAAGGAGGGGCTTCATAGAGACCGGAACTAAACTGAGCGTTACTGACAGACCGGGAAGAGAGGTGCTGCAACAATGTCAAATATGTGAAAAATAAGGTGTTTTTTAAACATCCAAGGGTAAAAATCAATTCTAGTAGACCCCAAAAACAAAATCAAGAGTTTGAAAAAGGGCAAAAAGGGTCCCCTTTAAAATATACCCCCAATGTAATGTGAAGAGGCTGAATCTGGGGCCGAGGACTATCAGGAATATCTGCTTGTTCAACCATATTTTTTGCAACACAGTTTGGTGCTGCTAGTGGCTTAAAATTGCACACTTCACCTTCAAAGTCTACAATCAGTGGTCTTGGTTTCGAAAGCACATCCAACACAACCAGCAGCGCAAGTAAAACAGTCTTGTCATAAGTGGTTAATGATAAATAAAGACCATCTTCTCCTGCGAACGCATGTCAGTCACGGTCATCATCATCCGCTGATTGCGAAGGATGCTTTCAGGTAGAAGTGCATTACTTAAAGAGGAATGACTATGATCCATCTCCCTGTGGGATCGGGCTATAGAAAAGCAAACGATAGTTCTGATCCAGCTTCCTATCATTTCCCCTGAACTCAATTCCCAGAGAGAGGAAGTGGAGTTCCGCTGATTAAGCTTTTCATTCCCCCGTGAGGACGGAGTCAGTCACTGGGGTCTGCGCCAAGACCCCTCCACCATCTCCACCTGATCCCCTTCACGATGATTGATAGCAAGATATGGCCAGTGTAACAAACACAATAACTTTCATAAATAACAATGGAGTTAATGATGGAGTCATCACTGAGGTGGGCGGTGAACTGAGTTTTGTGAAGGACAGTTTTGACATCTGGGTGTGTTCAAAGACTATCAATGTGCATCGCTGTGACAATTCTTGGAAGATCACTGATACTGGTTTTGTAAAACAATGCAAAACGGAAGCATTTATTTAATTATTATGAAAAAGTTTGGAATGATTCAGATTTTTTCTTATGCTCACCAAGGCTGCATTTATTTTATCAAATTTATTTTCAGCATCATTACTGCAGTCTTCAGTGTCACATGACCCTTCAGAATTAATTCTAATTTGCTGCTTAATATACATTTATTATTAGTATTATCAATGTTAAAACAGTTTTTGCTGGTTAATTTTTTTGTGGGGAAATCTTGAAAAAAATGTTTTCAGGATTCTTTGATGAATAGAAAGCTCAAATGAACAGCATTTATTTGAAATATAATTATTTTGTAACATTATAAATGTCTTTACTGTCACTTTTGATTAATGCAATCTTGCTAAATAAAAGTATACATTTCTTTAATATTCTTATTTTAAATATTACACCAAACTTTTGAATGGTAGTGTATCACGGTTTTCACCAAAATGTTAAGAAGCAAAAACTGTTTTCAACATTGATAATAATAATAATATAGAAATGTTTCTTGGGCAGCAAATCATATTAGAATGATTTCTGAAAGTTCATGCGACACTGAAGACTGGAGTAATTATGGTGAAAATTCAGCTTTGATCACAGGAATAAATACAATTTTAAAATATTTTCAAATAGAAAACAGCTATTTTAAATTATAATCATATTTTACAATATTCTGCAGCACTGGTGATCATAGTGACTGTGTGACATCAGACTGTGACCACTTTTGGCTTGTATTAATATTTGAAAACAGAAATTGCACACTATCATTACTAGGTTGTTGGTAAATTTTAGAACTGGCAGAAGGGAGATCTGCAAATTGTTAGGAAATAATCGTCTGCGCTTTGAAAAGTCAGCAAACAAGGTTGAAACTTAAGTGTCATGTTACAAGACCTGACCTGTGAGGAATGTGGAGCAACATGCATTTACCATATGATTATTGTGAATGTATAACTGATGTGTGATCATGGCCAGAGTGTTGTGTGACTGTGGTGGATGTGTAACTCACAGGTGCCAGGCATGCAGGTCATGGAGGAGGAACAGAGCTCCACCATCCTCACAGCTGGTGCAGAAGATCCCAGAGGAGGAATCGTCACCAACGAGATCTGCCAATAAAACAAGAAACGCACTACTACATCACGGGTGTCCAATCCTACTCCTAAAGGGCAGTGACCCTCCAGGACCAAGTTTGGAAACGCCTGACTTACATCTTACAGTTTACATAAAGGATATATGACTGACATATCATTCACCAATTCACCCTGTCACAACAAGCAAAGTGCAGAATCTACAGTTAGTGAAATGAAGAAATTTCAGCACAAAAAAATAAAAAAATAATAGTAATAATATTTTTTTTGGGGTATTTTACCCAAATTGTGAGTCTGTCAAATACATAATGGCATAGTATGTAAACTTAAGAGGATAATGCAGAGCTAAAACCTATTAGCTACATTTTGTGCCTGTGTAACAGGATCTATATAATCCTGTTATTACAATCCAGACAATATTTTCATACTGTCCTTGGGTAAAACTATGTTAAAACTGCTTTTTAATCAAGTCCAAGTGCAACAAGACAAGTGTGCCAACAAGAAAAGTGTTAAAGAGGAAGAGAATGCTCGTTTGGCGACTGTCATTCCAAAGGACGAACGGCTAATTAAAACCAGCCTGAATATTTAATTACGTTTTGTCACACACAGTCATGTAATATTCCATTTCCACACCGTGTCAAGACGCTGATATTAATTTCTGTTCGCCCGGGCTAATGAGCATAAATTACACCCACTTTTCCTTCCTCTCCTGATCTGCTTTGAATATTCAAGCATGAATTCCTGATGGAGAGCAAATTGGGCCGAGATTCAGAAGCTGTTCTGACCACTCTGCTTCCTTTTCCTGTACTCTGGTGGACAGCACTCAAATTAGCCTAAGAGGACGCTTGCATGTCACCGTCCACTCTCGCATTGGAGACATTTATTTATCCAATTCTAAACCAGTAACAGCAAACAGAATTACTGTCCTTTCATTGAACTGGTTATTTTTTCCTCTCATAATTCACTTTAGAATGTTACGCTCAAGAACGGGATGTCAAAACTATTGTAACGATCCCACAAATCGGCTCTGATGTTTTGTTGCTTCTATGCCTGCCGAATCTTGGACGTGTTCCAAGAATCCATCCAAATGTGATATGCAGCATAAAAAAGATGTAATGCAATACAAGTTGAAAAGCAAAAGTGCAAGGCTGGCAAGAAACGTGCCACACAAACACACACAGCAGAGATGGGTCAATGCCCTTTAAATGTGTATGTGGATATGCAAGAAGGAGGGGAGAAGGAAGGAAGGAAGGAAGGAAGGAAGAAAAGCAGGCAGGAAGAAAGAAAGGAAAAAATATACAAGAAGAATGAAAAATAAAGAAAGGAAGAAAGGAAGGAAGGAGGGAGGGAGGGAAGGAGGGAGGGAGGGAGGGAAGGAAAGAAGGAAGGAAGGAGGAAAGGAAGGAAGGAAGGATGGAAGGAAGGAAGAAAGGATGGAAGGAAGAAATGAAGGAAGGAAGGAAGGAAGGATGGAATGAAGGAAAGAAGCCTGGAAGGAAGGAAGGCTGGAAGGAAGGAAGGAAGGAAGGAAGGAGGGAAGGAGGGAAGGAAGGAATGAAGGAAGAAAGGAAGGCTGGAAGGAAGGAAGGAAGGAAGGAAGGAGGGAAGGAAGGAAGGAAGGAAGGAAGGAAGGAGGGAAGGAAGGAAGGAGGGAAGGAAGGCTGGAAGGAAGGAAGGAAGGAAGGAAGGAGGGAAGGAAGGAAGGCTGGAAGGAAGGAAGGAAGGAGCTGGAAGGAAGGAAGGAAGGAAGGCTGGAAGGCAGGAAGGCAGGAAGGAAGGAAGGAAGGAAGGAAGGAAGGAAGGAAGGAAGAAGGCAGGAAGGAAGGAAGGCTGGAAGGAAGGAAGGCTGGAAGGAAGGAAGGAAGGAAGGAAGAAAGGAAGGCTGGAAGGAAGGAAGGCTGGAAGGAAGGCTGGAAGGAAGGAAGGAAGGAAGGAAGGAAGGAAGGAAGGAAGGAAGGAAGGAAGAAAGGAGCTGGAAGGAAGGAAGGAAGGAAGAAAGGAGCTGGAAGGAAGGAAGGAAGGCTGGAAGAAAGAAAGGAAGGAAGGAAGGAAGGAAGGAAGGAAGGAAGGAAGGAAGGAAGGAAGGAAGAAAGAAAGGAGCTGGAAGGAAGGAAGGAAGGCTGGAAGGAAGGAAGGAAGGAAGAAAGGAAGGCTGGAAGGAAGGAAGGCTGGAAGGAAGGAAGGAAGGCTGGAAGGAAGGAAGGAAGGAAGGAAGGAAGGAAGGAGCTGGAAGGAAGGAAGGAAGGCTGGAAGAAAGGAGCTGGAAGGAAGGAAGGAAGGAAGGAAGGAAGGAAGGAAGGCTGGAAGGAAGGAAGGAAGGAGCTGGAAGGAAGGAAGGAAGGAAGGAAGGAAGGAAGGAAGGAAGGAAGGAAGGCTGGAAGGCAGGAAGGCAGGAAGGAAGGAAGGAAGGAAGGAAGGCTGGAAGGAAGGAAGGAAGGAAGGAAGAAGGCTGGAAGGAAGGAAGGCTGGAAGGAAGGAAGGAAGGAAGAAGGCAGGAAGGAAGGAAGGAAGGAAGGAAGAAGGCAGGAAGGAAGGCTGGAAGGAAGGAAGGAAGGAAGGAAGGAAGGAAGGAAGGAAGGAAGGAAGGAAGGAAGGAAGGAAGGAAGGAAGGAAGGAAGGAAGGAAGGAAGAAGGAAGGAAGGCAGGCTGGAAGGAAGGAAGGAAGGAAGGAAGGAAGGAAGGAAGGAAGGAAGGAAGGAAGGAAGGAAGGAAGGAAGGAAGGAAGGAAGTTAAATGTGCATGTGGATCTGCAAGAATGTCTGAATGTGAATGTCAGTAAAATCAAAGATATGTGTATTGATTTCTGGCGTAATCATATAGCAACCTCATCTACTATTATTAACAACCAACCCATTGAACTGGTTGAAGTATTTATGTTCTATAATTGATGTTACATTTCTAAATTTCAGTCTGTGTAAGATGAGTCAGCAAGAAAGCCAGCCAAACTCAACACTCACAAGACATTGATTACTGTCTTTTATAAGGCATACACTGCATCAGTTTAAACATTCTCATTATTTGTTGTTTTGCCTCTCTAAAAATTAAAACTGCACAGGAGAAAGTTGTTAATAACTGTAGTACAGTGCTAGGAGTGAAATGGCCTGGGTTGACAGATTTATTTAAAAAGCATGTGCTTAGGAAAGTGAACTACATTATATCTGATACATCTCTTCCTCTTCATCCATTCCAGACTTTGCCTTCAGTGTCTTTGTACAGAGTCCCTTTAGCTAAAACCAACAGATTAACACCCTCATTTGTACCATGTGCTATAACTTTGCTTAATTTAAATCGTAAAAGGTAGATTTTTAATTTGTATTACTTATTTTGATGCTGTGTATTTGTCAGTCTTGTATGTGTTGGTAATTTCCATGCTGCAGAACTAATTGCCTCTAATTAGTCAATAAAAGGTTAAAGTCTAAAGTCTTAAAGATGAATAAATGATCAAAGAATGAACAAACAAATGAGTGAACAAAAGATCAAATGAAAGAAAAACAAAGATAAAAAAATGAAAGAACAAATCAACAAAATAATAAAAGAAACTAAAACAAAACAACAAACAACAAATAAAAGAAGAAACAAAAGTATAAACAACTGAAAGAATTGAAATAAATAAATAAAAAAGAACAAATTAATAAACAAAAAGAAAAATCAAAGGAACAAATGAATAAATAAAAAAACGAAAGAATGAACAAACAAAAGATCAAAAGAAATAACAAACGAATAAGCAAAAGGAAAAAAAATGAACAAATGAATATGCAAACAGCCGAAAGAATGAACAAAAAAAGAACAAATAACAAATGAATAAGCAAAATGAAAATATAAAAAACACTAAAGAACGAACAAACAAAAGATCAAAGGAAAGAACAAATGAATAAGCAAATAGAAAAAACAACCGAACAAATGAATATAAAAAACAACTAAAAGAATGAACAAACAAATGAAAGAAAAAGAAAAGAAAGAACAAATTAATAAACAAAACGAAAAACAAACAAATTAACAAATACAAAAAAAAAAAAAAAAAAAAAAAAAAACTGAAGAAATGAAAAATAAACAGTTACTCTATTTAAGGTGATGTATTGTACTTACTCTAGTAAGTACTGAGTAATATTTATTAACTACATGCACTTGTACATGAGTTACGGGTTAGGGTTAGTCACTTGTAATTATGCATACTTTACTGTTATTACTATAGCAAGTACATGTAGTAACAAGTAACTACGTCACCTTAAAATAGAGTGTTACCGAACAAACAAATGCCTGTACAAAAGCAAGAAAGCAAGCAAGCTAACCTGCTGATCAGATTCTGAAGGCAGCACAGATCTGTCTGTGATGAGCACTGCTCGAGATATCTGCCTGTGGACAAAGATGGAGAAACAGAATTAAAGGGATAGTTCACTTTGAAATTAATTTTTGATATGTTTTAGCTTACCTCCAGTGCATCCAAGATGTAGGTGTCTTTGTTTCCACAGTATCTTCAATTTTGATAATTTTAGGTAAAACCGTTGTTGTCTGTCAGTCATACAATGGAGGTGAAGGGGGTCCTCCTCAAAGAGCAGTCAAAATTAAACATTATTTAATGACTCGTAAATGTAAGTACACATTGATGCCCTAAGACACGAAACGAGTGGTTTTTGTGAGAAAACGAACAGTATTTATATTGTTTTTACCTCTTGTAACCACAGCCATGCCCAAGTTATCTGAGGGCGCGGACGCTTCCGTGTGTGACGTGTACGCAGACTGGTGCATAGATATATATACCCTAGATGTCGCCTTGGCTAAGGTTTCGTTCCAATGAACTGCCGTCGCCAAGGCGACATCTAGTTTATCCTGGGGCGTCATGCAAGCCAAAATTCTGGGGGGGCACAATCTGAGACGTTGCAATTGTTTTCTGACAGGTGATATGGATCATGTTAGGAGGGGTCAGGGGGTTTCTCCCCCTGAATTTTTTTTAAATTCTGGCTGCTAAACATACCATTTCAATGCAGTTTGGGAGGGACAGAAATACCTTAACGGAGCTAGCAGCAACACTCCTCTATCTGATTCTGAGGACTAAGTTAAAGTATCTATTTTGTAAGTTTATGTAAAAGACAGGTTGATGAAAGAACTGTAAGCTCAAATTCAAAAGCTTTTCAAGTCTACTTCATTAAAGCATGTTTACACACACACTTACTGTACACTTAGGCCTACTACACATGATTTTAAAAACACATTGCAGTTTTTATGTTATGATTTTAAATTGGTATGTGACCTAAGAACGATCTTACATTAAAGGTAGCCTACATAAAGGTGCTGAGGTCTGACTTTGTGGTGCTCTGAAATTAAGTTATTTTAATATTAATATGTGATGAAGGACTTTAAAAGAAGTTTGACAGATTTCAGTGCTGAATAAGGTTAACACTACCCCGTTTATTTGAAAATGGTTAATATTTGACAGAAATGTAAAAAAGTAATCAAATCAAATGCAATATGTATAGCGATCTGTATAACAACTATGCTGTAGGGATTTGGGGGGTAGTCCTACTATGATATTAGACTACATTAAAAGATAATGAATTTCAAACCTGAACCAAACATATTTTTTAATTCAAAGATCAAAGTCTGTCATTAGTCTTTAGTCTGCCAAAAAAAAAAAAAAACCATTAAAATCATGAACTCATATGTCATTGTGAAAAAAAAATGTGTTACTGTTGTAACAGTGTGTAGGCTAAATCAGACCTTTCAGGCTATAGCCTAACGCTAATAAGCCTTATGGCAAAATTATTATTACAACTAAATTGTCGGTCATTAAATAGGAAAACTAAATAATTTTGTAGATGATTTGCTTTGTGTAGGCCTAACCCGACATCAGACATTATAAGGCCCGGACGAAGTTTTTTTTTGCACACAGTGACGCGACCAATCAATCACTCCTTTAATGCTGCGTTCACACCAGACGCGAATAGCGCGTCAAATTCGCGCCTACCGCGTCTAGTTATAGCCTACGCGTGAACACTTTGAATCCATTCACGCGTCAAGAGCAAATGACGCGCGTAAAAAAACTAAAGTTTAGACTGGCTGCCTGCACATTCACTGTCCTCGCGGCTGCGGCTGCTGCAATTGGAAGGGGCTGGCTGCAGGACGACTCAACTTCCACGGACAGTTTTTAATATTTTATGTCAAGATTTTGCTTTAGTATAATTTTCGGGACAATTAAGGCCGGTTTCGGGACAACAGCTTAGATTTGGGGACTGTCCCGAATTTTTCGGGACTTCTGGTCACCCTAGGGAGGAAAAATCTGAGGGGGCACGTGCCCCCTCACTTTGAATGGGCATGACGCCACTGAGTTTATCTATGCACCAGTCTGCGTACACGTCACACACGGAAGCGTCCGCGCCCTCAGATAACTTGGACATGGCTGTGGTTACAAGAGGTAAAAACAATATAAATACTGTTCGTTTTCTCACAAAAACCGCTCGTTTCGTGTCTTAGGGCATCAATGTGTACTTACATTTACGAGTCATTAAATAATGTTTAATTTTGACTGCTCTTTGAGGAGGACCCCCTTCACCTCCATTGTATGACTGACAGACAACAACGGTTTTACCTAAAATTATCAAAATTGAAGATACTGTGGAAACAAAGACACCTAACATCTTGGATGCACTGGAGGTAAGCTAAAACATATCAAAAATTAATTTCAAAGTGAACTATCCCTTTAATATCCTAACAAAAGAAAAGGCGAACGGGAACAATCATTAGAGACAGAGAACACATTATAAAGGAGATTATTCAGAAAAGAGAAAACTCAAAATGACCCTAAACATGTACAGTAATTGCAAGGAATAGGTCACACATAAATGCAAATTGACATCATTTATTCAATCTCATGTCATTTCCAAACTTGTACGACTTATTTTTTTTTTTTTTTTTTTTAAACTTGCGGACGGACGGACGGAGAGGTTTGACTGTGAAATACACTCACCTAAAGGATTATTAGGAACACCTGTTCAATTTCTCATTAATGCAATTATCTAATCAACCAATCACATGGCAGTTGCTTCAATGCATTTAGGGGTGTGGTCCTGGTCAAGACAATCTCCTGAACTCCAAACTGAATGTCAGAATGGGAAAGAAAGGTGATTTAAGCAATTTTGAGCGTGGCATGGTTGTTGGTGCCAGACGGGCCGGTCTGAGTATTTCACAATCTGCTCAGTTACTGGGATTTTCACGCACAACCATTTCTAGGGTTTACAAAGAATGGTGTGAAAAGGGAAAAACATCCAGTATGCGGCAGTCCTGTGGGCGAAAATGCCTTGTTGATGCCAGAGGTCAGAGGAGAATGGGCCGACTGATTCAAGCTGATAGAAGAGCAACTTTGACTGAAATAACCACTCGTTACAACCGAGGTATGCAGCAAAGCATTTGTGAAGCCACAACACGCACAACCTTGAGGCGGATGGGCTACAACAGCAGAAGACCCCACCGGGTACCCCTCATCTCCACTACAAATAGGAAAAAGAGGATACAATTTGCAAGAGCTCACCAAAATTGGAAAGTTGAAGACTGGAAAAATGTTGCCTGGTCTGATGAGTCTCGATTTCTGTTGAGACATTCAGATGGTAGAGTCAGAATTTGGCGTAAACAGAATGAGAACATGGATCCATCATGCCTTGTTACCACTGTGCAGGCTGGTGGTTGTGGTGTAATGGTGTAGGGGATGCTTTCTTGGCACACTTTAGGCCCCTTAGTGCCAATTGGGCATCGTTTAAATGCCACGGCCTACCTGAGGATTGTTTCTGACCATGTCCATCCCTTTATGGCCACCATGTACCCATCCTCTGGTGGCTACTTCCAGCAGGATAATGCACCATGTCACAAAGCTCGAATCATTTCAAATTGGTTTCTTGAACATGACAATGAGTTCACTGTACTAAAATGGCCCCCACAGTCACCAGATCTCAACCCAATAGAGCATCTTTGGGATGTGGTGGAACGGGAGCTTTGTGCCCTGGATGTGCATCCCACAAATCTCCATCAACTGCAAGATGCCATCCTATCAATATGGGCCTACATTTCTAAAGAATGCTTTCAGCACCTTGTTGAATCAATGCCACGTAGAATTAAGGCAGTTCTGAAGGCAAAAGGGGGTCAAACACAGTATTAGTATGGTGTTCCTAATAATCCTTTAGGTGAGTGTATGTGGCAAATATTGGATTTAAGAGCTTGAAAGTCTGCATAGCACTGTATGCTTTCAGCGTATGGGAAAGAGCAGCTACATGATCCTTGCAAACATCTTCTGTTGAGTTCCACAGAAACTCATACGGGTTTGGAACAACATGAGAATTGAAAAGGAAAAACTTTCATTACATGGAAATGTGCAGGATACACGTTTTTAAAAACGTGTAATTTTGCATTTCACAAAGAAGTCGTTGTTTTAGTTAATATAAGGACTTTTTTTACTTGACTGAAAAAAAAAAACCCTCAATTGATAAAGATGTCGAGAAACGTGTTATGTATAAACTGGGGAAACCAGCCAATCACAGTATGAAATACAATTTGGTTAATTTTTGGTATATTAGAGGTATAAAGGAATAACACAGAACAATGAAAACAGAACAAATGTAGGTATAAAAGGTATAACGTTTTTATTGTGGTAGTATTGAATATAGAAGATCATGATTCTGATTGGGTGAAAAGAAAGTGAGATGTCAACACTGTAACGCCCCTCTTCATTATAACAGCTGATGCACGTTAGACGGGACAATCAATATCTTTTTTTCACGCTTTCTCATTAATTACAGTAATGAATACTAATGGACCCTTTTCACAGACTGTGATGAAGCATTTTAACTGTCATAGGCATTGTAAATCCTGCAATGTTTTTTATCTTCTCTTTTTTCTATTTTAAATGCATGTACATTATAACACTACACTTTGTATTACATTACCTTTGCATCAAATTACAAAAAACTAGTTACCGCTGCTGTGAGGGTGTTTCTAATACAGCGGCTGTGGGAGTGACGGTAAAAATGACATCTTTCTCTCTTCTGACAGCCGTTATCAATCTCTCTCTATTTTTTTGCCTCTTTTTGAATGTTGTGAAAACACTATTGTGGAGTTTTTCTTTTGCCATTTAAGCAAATGGGAACACAACAAATATACTTAATGTAGTCTCTCATTCACCGCTATATAAGTTTACCCAACTATGACGACTTTCACTTCTGAGAAACCCGGAAATTTAACAAAAAGAGGGTCAATTTCACTTTTGTGTGCTTACCTGTACGCTGTGCTCTGTCTTTGTTCATCTCTGATGTACGAATCTTCAACCACAAAATGACTGCAGCTGATCTTCTGACCGCGTGTATCAATCACCGCTTTAACTCTGTGACGAATGCATACAAGAAGATGTATCAGGACAAGAAAAAGCCCATGCCCCAAACCAGCTTTCTTTATCCAAAAACCTGCTCTACTCACAAAAGGGACAAGAGATGGTCAGATTATGATTTGAAGATAAAATATTAAACACTAGAACATCATATATTAGCTGTCTCATCCTTCATGGGTCAGGTGGTTACTTCTAAAAGCTCATTTTATAAAAGAAGTGGCCTGTCGTTTCATACGTGTCACTATAGGAAAATGTGTTGCTTTGGCATTTTGCGTGAGGTCAGTATGTCATGTTAATAATTTTGCATATTGCTGGACCTACGTGGTTCATGACAATATATCAATCAGGGCTCGATATTAAGCCTCGTCCAGTGTGCATGATCTAACATTTGATCAATAAATTCAATCATAATAATAAGACACTATAGGGCTGTTAATTTACACAATACAATTTCAATTAAACTACAATAGCATACAATTACACTAAAATAATTTATTCTGCAATATTACAACTGCAATAAACTATGTCATGAGATTAATGTTTTAAAATTGAGGAAAAAAAGCAATGATATTAGTAAACATCAAACTAAACTGCCAGTAGGTGGCAGCAAGTCACTCAATGAGTGAGTCATTGAATCATTCATTCAACCGATTCGTTCAAAATGCTGTATCATTCAGTAACCAAACACCGCTGAGTTTTGCTTTTTGCTTTGCACAATAGTTCTGCTGTGATCTTAGTTTGGAACTATTTTTGTTGATGAAATAGAACAAGAACAGTCAATAGTGTCTAAAATGTAAGTGACTTAACATTAACTATTTGTTTATTGAACTATAAAATCAATGTAACATTTGCAGTCGTGATAATATTCGGCAATACAGCTCCCTTGGTCGTGTTATGTTGTTTGCCATAAATATATCATGTGGTATAAAGAAAAAAAAAACGAAACTTTTTGAATCTTTACCTCACGAAAGTCTCTCACAAAGAGACAGGCAGCACGACCCTCAACAGAAATGTAATAAAATCAGAATCCTTCTTGCGTTTCGATGCTTCCCTGGTTTTTTTTTTGTCTCAGAAGTTTTAATGACCGGGCAAGTAAAATTCTCTTTCGCTTGCCCCTTCAAAATATCCACTTGTCCCGGACAAGCAGACAAGCGTTAATGTCAAGCCCTGTCAACGTTACATTTGAAGCAATTTTGGTTCCTGTTTGAACATTAAACAATTTTGGTACTTTGTCGGTTCGTCACATATCATCAAAATGTAAAATCTGGGTCCTGAAGAAAAAACAGTTGTGAACCAGTGGCCTAGGGCACAAGTTTGACCTATCCTCCTTTAATCTCTGCAAGCGAGAAGGAAAAAGAGCGAGTGAGAGAGAAAAAGGTGGAACAGAGGAGAATCTGTTGGCTTGTTATGTCAAGAGTTATAAATGTGCTTTATAGGGCTCATTATCCAAACTAATGGGCTGGGGGTGACATCCTTGAAATGGACTTTCACAACACAATAAAGGGGCAAGAGAGCGTCTCCCTCCCCTGACGAAAACTTCAGGCCTCGGAATAATCCTCCCCCAATGCCTAGATTGACTGCAGGACAGATCTGTTTATGTAAATGAAGATTTATTTACTCGGAGGAACTAGCAGAGGAAGCGGAGGGTTTCCAATCAATCGTCAGCCAATGGGGTGAAGGAAAGCATTATGGGATACATTTCACAAACCTAACACACCTGAGGGCAACCGTAGCAGGACGCTCTTGCTCACAGGAAGCTGCTTCTGAATCAAGAGACCAAACTACGCAATTTAGGAAAATTACTGCAAGGCTCAACCACGATTTTAGCCAGTCTAAGAGAGAGTCGGGCCAATTGAAAAAACTATCAGGACGATCTTTCGTTCCATGATCTTGTACATGTGATTTTATGCTTTAAAACTTAAACATGTGTTTTTAATTCTGTGAATTCAGTTACAATTGTATCATTTATTATGACAAATTAAAAAGATGGTCTTATATAAATTGTAGAATATATACAGTATATAGTGAAAATTGTTGAAAACTAATTTTATTTTACATTATATATATATATATATATATATATATATATATATATATATATATAAATAACATTATTTTGTCTTTACAAAAAACCTAACAACAAATAATTATTGGCATTTTGAATATGAATTCAAACAAATGCATTTTAACTAAATATAAACTTATTTTATGCATATAAAATGAAGTATTTTATTTGTTGCTACAAATAAAAAATATATTTTTTTATTGTGGGGTAAGTGAAAATGTTGGCAGTGCAAGTCAAAATCTGAACTACTCCAACTGTTGACAAGCAAAAAAATCTGAATTTTGTATGTCAATCAAAAAAAAAAGTTGTTATTTTCGAAAAGGTTTCTTCAATTCGTTTTTTTCCTCAGCGCACACTATGTAAAGAGTTTTTTTTACAAGTGCATAAGTTTCTTCTGTCAGTGTGCATAAAACACTTAATAGTGCTAATGATTCCGTTTCACTTGCAACCAAGGCCAGTGTCGGCTTTGTAGATCATCATAAGAGTTCATAAATCGCCTTCATAAACCACGTCAGTGGCCTCTGAACCAATCAGCGTGATAACCTTGCACCCAACGATGCATGCGTTCAAACTCATTTGAATTTTATATACGTCTCTGCAAATGTGGTTTTGTGTAGGCTAAACAGATCATATGCTGAATGACACCATGACGGATATTACAAGCAAGAAGATTATTTGTCTTGGTAAATATTGCATAAAATAGTACACCATTGTTTTAAATCAATGAAAGAATCTGTGTATACCAGTGTTGTTATTGTTAAAGTCCCACTGTAGTCAATCATTTTATCCCTCAGAACTCACATTTGATCACCAAAATTACATATTTAAAAGTTTTTTCCCCTGAAATTTTTTTTTTAAATAGCTTGAACGTAACTCTATACCCTTGGCTAATTTAGTATAAGCGGTTCTATGAATATGCAAATTAGCCCCGCCTCCACCCACTCCCACCAGCTCAGAGATCCACTCGATGATGATCACACGTTGACGTGATTGGTTACAAGGTATTTTGTGACGTCAGAAACAGAGACTCTCTTAGATCGGCCAAACTAATAGTTAAGCCTTGCAGTAATTTGCGTAAATACATAGTTTGTTCTCTTGATTCGGAAGCAGCTTCCTGTGAGCAAGAGCGACCTACTAAGTTAGGTCTGTAAAGCTTAAAGGGATAGTTCACTTTGAAATTAATTTTTGGTATGTTTTAGCTTACCTTAAGGGCATCCAAGATGTAGGTGTCTTTGTTTCCGCAGTAGTTTCAATTTTGATATTTTTAGGTCAAACCGTTCTTGTCTGTCAGTCATATAATGCAGGTCTATGGTCACTTCCTCAAAGAGCATGCACAGAGAAGTCCAAATTAAACATGATTTAATGACTCGTAAATGTAAGTACACATTGATGGCCTAAGACATTGATGGCGGTTTGTGTGAGAAAACGAATAGTATTTATATCGTTTTTACCTCTTGTAACCACAGCCACGTCCAAGTGATCTGAGGGCGCCGGCGCTTCGGTCTGCAAAAGCGCCGGAAGTGATCTTTCGCGCGTGTACGTCACTCATTGTTTACACAGATTTCGGAAGTGTTACCTTTCACTGTGAAGATCTAAACATATTTAGATATACAGGAAATCGCAATGGAAGACGATTTCGATATATCAACAGACAACGTTGATTATTATTATTTTTTTTTTGAAGAGATCACTTCCGGCGCTTTCCGGCGCTTGCGCAGACCGAAGCGCCGGCGCCCTCAGATCACTTGGACGTGGCTGTGGTTACAAGAGGTAAAAACGATATAAATACTGTTTGTTTTCTCACACAAACCGCTCGTTTCATGTCTTAGGCAATCAATGTGTACTTACATTTACGAGTCATTAAATCATGTTTAATTTGGACTTCTCTGTGCATGCTCTTTGAGGTGGTGAACATTTTCCTTTTTGGGTGAACTATCCCTTTAAGGAGGGCTACTTATGTCTCTATTTCCAGGTTTCCATTGACATTTTTTTAAAGCAAATTGTAGAATAATCAAACATCTTGGAAACACTAAGATGTAATTGAGAATGTCCAAAATGTACATAAATGTGGTGGATTTGAATTTGTTGAGAAGACGTGCATAAACGACAACACATTTACAGAATAACTTCACAGCCGCGCATCAAAATTAATGAATAATCCTCTCAGATGATTGGTTACTACCTCTCAGACTCATCAAATCAAAATGTATTCATAAAGCGCTTTAAAAACCACAGTGTATCAGTGCTGTACAATAATTTTTTTTAACGAATACATTAAAATACAATAGAAAAAAACATTATTGCTCCCAAACGTAAGGCATCTGACGCTAGTGTTTCGTCTGCGCATATTAAACTGCAAATAATTTATTACATAAAAAAAAAAGACATCCTCTGCAGCAAGAACTTCCATTTACATTGGAATTTCCCTTTCCACTAGAAGTGGCGATTTTCTTCTTTGGAACACGAGGCGAAAACGCTGCTTTATTTGCAAATAGTTTTTCCGATATTTAGATTTTGTGCATGAATTGAATTCGCAACTTGGATAGTCAATGTGGCTTGGATATCTCCTTCAGTGCAACTAAATCACAATAATAGCACTGCTTGTTTTAGCAGGCACCTCCAAAAAAGCGATCTTATCACCAGTTGAGTTCTGTTGACGTGTAAAATGAATTTGGACAAACTAATTCGGACAAGTGATTGAGTTGCCTGTCGTGGCGGTGACAAACCGGACAGTGCTGGACCGTCTTCCGCATGGAGTGGCAGGTGGGATTTGAGGGTCTGTAATCCTCTGCTGCATTATTAATCTGGCTCTACCCTTTTCAACTTTATGTCTGTAATAAGAGCAGACATAGGGCGGTAATTTATGATGCCAGGGAAATTAAAATCATTGTTCAGCCTGCCAGACACCTTGCCAGGTTTTTTTTTTCACCTTCATGAAACTTTTTCCATGGATGATGTATGGCGCTAACCTCCAGCGCAGGGCTGACTCCACATGGGGCGCCACTAGAGGAGGGCATGGATGGTCCGCGCTAGATGCTTTATAGACTGAGCTCAGGGTCTGACGGACACCTCTGTCTGGAGCTCTGCCAGCTCCCAAGCCAAATCCAGACCGGCCCCGGTCAGGTGAGTCTGGCTTCAAGCCCAAATTTGGATGAAAGAATTCGCCTTGAAACTTCGCAGTGCTCCAGTTATATGGGGATATTGGTGGCGATCACAAAGAACTTGCAGTAAAATATCCATTAAGGTCATCTTGGTTGTTTTTCGTATGCTACGTTAAGTTGAGGAACACCTCCTGCTGGGCCGCTCAAGGAGAACTGACGTTTGGGATGGCTGACCGCATCCAGGGACAGACGTCACATATCAAAACTTAACTGACCTCCGTCAAATGGCCTCCTAAAAGGAGCGAATAAACAACCTGAAAGATTTGTTGGGAGAACAAATTGCAAAAGTTATCCGCTTGGTTAAAGAATAAATATTTATTCTTTCTTACCTTTACCTTTTCTGAAAGGTAGATGTTGGTAAGCAGTTGCTAGGCATAGAAGAACTGACACATACAACAGCTGCTGGTCAAGACGTTTATTTGTGCACCTCTTAAAATGTTATTTATTATTTAGCAAAAGTTGGTCGGGTTTACAAAATGCAAAATCGCTAACATTACCGACTAGATTTCATTCTAATACACGAGCTTTTCATTTGATTCAATTCCGTTTTCGATTTGATTCGATTCATTTTGACTAGGTTTGATTACATTTCTATTCAATTCTGATTTAACTGGGCATATTTCAGTTATAATGTCGAAATATGAAAGACATTCTCTCTCAGCTTCTGCTGTAAATTAAACAAGGACACTTCTAGCAAGGTATATTATGAAAATATTATAGGTTTAATATTAAAATTTATAAAACATTTATTGCATTTATTTATATATACATTTTTATGTACTGTTATTATAACAATGTTTTGCTTTTGTTCATAAATTGGAATGCACTGGTTGCACTGTATGTTTAAAAAAAAACAAAAAAAAAAACAGAACTATATTAGTCTGCTGGTGTGGACGCTAATATAGTAATCATTATAGTTGTCGTTCTTGGTGTGAATGGGCCTTTAATCAGAAAATCAATTTTTTTTAACCCATTCCTAGTCTGGAGGATATGTCCATCTACTAGTTTACGAGCAATTTATGATTTTATGATAAACGACAGGGAAATGCATCTAATTTGAGCGCTGCTGCACCGGCAAGGTACGCAATAGCCTTAACACTAGTAAGCTACTGCTATCACATGTGTAAGTTTCGCGCACTACATCCAGAGGAATCCAAGCCCCCTGGGTCATTCACCAGCAAGATGAAAGAAACTCAATATAATCGCCAAAGAGAGGGCCAAAGAATGAGAGAGGAATAAAGAGAGAGGGAAAAAACCCAGATCTAACCTAGTTTATGACAACAATCCACCTTTGAAACTCATTAAAGGCCTTTCTGGTGGGGCCTGACGCACATTATCAGCACAGATTAATCAAGGGAGACGGGAGATGAACTCTCATTTTTTAAGAGGCAGCAACAGAGGGCTTTTTTGTCTTCAGATGAAAATCAATTAGTGGAGGTAAGGCCACGAGGAAAAAGCGGCATCACTCATCGCCGGCCCAAGTGGCAGAGTCTGTGATTTGTCTTCCGAGCTCGGCTGCTTAAGGGGGGCTGGTACCGCTGTCTCCCTGAAAATTAATTTCATATCTATATTCCGAATACATCCCCCCGCCCCAACCCATTCACTCATGTGCGCCATCTCTTGGCCTTGTTTTTGAGTACCCCGTACACAAATGGGCTCTGATCAGCCTTGGGATACTGGAGTGGTGTGAATCAACCGGAGGAGGAAGTTAATCTACTTATCTAATTGAATTTCTGAGTGTTATGAGTTGAAAGTTGTTGTTTTTCATCTAAATGTGTGTTGTCAAAGCGCAAGAACAGAATCAGTGGTGAACTACTTACTTGTTGGATCCCTTGTCCACAACCAGGCACTGCACTGAGTGCCGAAGACAATAAATTCCTCCAAATACGGCACACATTCTGCAAGGAGAAGAAAAAAAAAGTAACACTTTACATACGCTTGCGTTATATGACATCCAATCTGAATGGAACTGCTAAACACCCGTAATTACAGCTGATGGCATGACATTAAAAAGGGCTGATCACACCTTGTCCACACAGAAAGGACAAAATCCAATGCATTTGACAAGGCAAAAATGTCACCAAGATCTTAAAATGTGTTACCTTTACAAGTAAAGCTTTCTTGAGATTTTGTGGTGATGATAAACAGCAGCTTAATTAAACTATAAACACAACGACAAAGTGATTCACATATTCTTAAAAAGCCTGGAGACAAAGACAGAGAGAAACACAAAAAAAGATGAACGGACAGACAGAAGCTGAGATAAAGTAGCCAACATACTTTGTGTGGTTGCACACAGTAACTATTTATACATTGGTGTCCTTTATCTCATTGCCATTTCTGCAGTTTTAAGAATAAATGCAGAAGAAAAACAAGACGGTAAAAAGACGGAAAAAATTCGGTAAAAGTATTGTCAAATATTATTACAATTATATATATTTGTATTTTGTTTAAATATTTAAAAAAAATGATGGCAAGGAAAAATGTTCAGCATTATTACTCCAGTCTTCAGTGTCACATGATCCTTCAGAAATCATTCTAATATGCTGAAATTTGAAAATACATTTTAAAAACAGTTGTGCTGCTTAGAAATGTTGTGGTAACCATGATACATTTTGTTTTTCAGGATGCTTTGATGAATAGAAAGTTCAAAATTTGGACTTCAATATTTGAAATAGAAATGTAACATTGTTAATGTCTTTACTTTCGGTTTTGATCAATTTAATTGATCAGTTTCCTTGTTGAATAAAAGTATTTTTAAAAGTGTGTGTGTGTGTATATATATATATATATTTACATATACAAAGAAATGAAGGGTCTATAATTTGTATGGTAGATTTATAATTTATCGGATAGAGACAGAATATCAACCAAAAAATCCAGAAAAAAACCCCCATTATATAAAGGTTATAAATTAATTTGCATTTCAGTAAGTGAAATAAGTATTTGATCCCCAAGCAAAACATGACTTAGTACTTGTAGCTTCTGTTGGCAAGCACGGAGGTGAGATGTTTCTTGTAGTTGGTCACCAGGTGTGCACACATCTCAGGAGGGATTTTGGTCCACTCCTCTTCTATACTCTCAAAATCCATATGGTTTCTTGGCTGCCGCTTGGCAACTCGAAGTTTCAGCTCCCTCCACAGATTTTCTATAGGATTAAGGTCTGGAGACTGGCTAGGCCACTTCAAGACCTAAATGTGCTTCTTCTTGAGCCACTCCTTTGTTGCCTTGGCGGTGTGTTTTGGGTCATTGTCATGCTGGAAGACCCATCCACGACCCATCTTCAGTGTTCTGGCTGAGAGAAGGAAGTTCTCGTCCAAGATTTTACGGTACATGGCTCCGTCCAACGGCCCCTCGATGTGGGGAAGTTGTCCTGTACCCTTAGCAGAGAAACAGCCCCAAAGCATAATGTTTCCACCTCCGTGCTTCCCTCCAAACACAGCGAGTTGAGTTGATGCCAAAGAGCTCGATTTTGGTCTCACCGGATCACAGCACTTTCTCCCAAGCCTTCTCGGAACCATTAAGATGTTCATTGGCAAACTTCAGACGGGCCTGTTGAGCGGTGGGACCTTGCGGGCGCTACAGGATTTCAATCCATTGCGACGTAGTGTGTTACCAATGGTTTGCTTGGTGACTGTCGTCCGAACTGCCTTGAGATCGTTAACAAGCTCCTCCCATGTGGTTCTGGGCTGATCCCTCACCTCTTTCATAATCATTCTTACCTCATGAGGTGAGATCTTGCATGGAGCTCCAGACTTTTGTGCAGACTTCAATTTCCAAATAATGGCACCAACACTTGTCTCCTTCTCACCAAGCTTCTTGCTGATGGTCTTGGAGCCCATTCCAGCCTTGTGCAGGTCTACAGTCTTGTCCCTGGTGTCCTTTGACAGCTCTTTGGTCTTGGCCATGGTGATGGAGAGGTTGGAATGGAAGATACAGATTCTGTGGACAGGTTTCTTTTATACACATTACGAGCTGACGTTAGAAGTATTTTCTTTAAGTGACAGGACTAATCTGTGTTCCACATGGGCACATAACCAATCTGTGGGAGGCAGAATTCTTGCTGGTTGTTGGGGATCAAATATTTATTTCACTCGATCAAATGCTAATCAATTTATAACCTTTATATAATGTGTTTTTTTCCTGGATTTTTTGGTTGATATTCTGTCTCTATCCGTTAAAACAAACCAACCATAAAAAAATTATAGACCCTTCTTTTTAAGTGGGAAAACTTACAAAATCAGCAGGGAATCAAATAATTATTTCCCCCACTGTATATATATCTATGTTATTATACACACGTGTCTGTCTGTGTGTGTTTGTGTGTGTGTGTTAAGGGATATAATTGTGTAGATATAGTATATATGATATATACACATACACTACCAGTTAAAAGTTTTGGATCGGTAAGATTTATAATGTCTTTAAAAGAAGTCTCTTCTGCTGCATTTATTTGATTAAAACTACAAAAAACCAAAACAGTAATATTGTTAAATATTATGACAATTTAAAATAACTGTTTTCTATTTTAATATATTTTTCAAATGTAATTTATTCCTGTGATCAAAGTTGAGTTTTCAGCATCATTACTCCAGGCTTCAGTGTCACATGATCCTTCAGAAATCATTCTAATGCTGATTTGATGCTAAAAAAACATTCATTATTATTATCAATGTCGAAAACAGTTGTGCACAATTTTTTTCCAGGATTCTTCGATGAATAGAAAGTTCAAAAGAACAGCTTTTTTTTTAAATACAATCTTTTGTAACATTATAAATGTCTTTACTGTAACTTTTGATCAATTTAATTCATCCTAATAGATCCGAACCTTTTGACTGCTAGTGTATATATATATATATATATATATATATATATATATACACACACACACACAGTATATAAACAGGACACAGTATATAAATTTACACTGAAACAAATCCATCCGCCACCATGAAGTAACATGAAGGGCATAGGTTGGATATTAGGTCACATAAATATGTCTGAAGACAAAGATGGAGAGATGGAAAAGGACACTTTGCTGTTCACTCAGAGCTTAAACAAGGGAGAAAAAAAAGAAAAAAAACTTCTGGCCTTGTCTGCCCAGATTAATATAGAGACATGGCATCTTAATAAAGTGCAAAGATAAAAAAAAAAAAGAGAAAAAAAAAAAGAGAGGCTAAATCTGCCAGCAATCATCAGGGCCCATCTCCTGTCCTCCACAAAACCCCATAGAGGCAGCAGGGAAGCCCTTTGATGTCATTAACCCTAACTGACAGACGTTTAAGCTGATATTACTCTAATTAACTGCCCGCTGTCGGCCCCAATGATGCAGTCGGGTGGAGTGCGTGGGCACTGCCATTCCCTCTCCAGGCCCCAGCACTCGCCCTGGCGACATCACTCGCCATCACGGCTAAATTAACAGTTGTGAAAATCCAGTACCCCCACAAGCCCCTGCTCTTTATAGCCTCTAAATGGCATTTCAGTTCCTATCAAGACGGGAATCAGGGGACGTGATTTTTTAATACGGTAGCAAAACAATGGAGGCCATTAATAGCCCGACGCCGTGACAGCGCGCTCACCGATGATTTATGAGTTTGTGTATAATTTGATTATGCTATTAATTCCACTGATTACAGCTGCAGCGAGTGTGGAGAAGGTCACATCCAAAATAAATCTTCGACAACTCCCTCTTTCTCGTCACCTAACACCCTCCTCCCCCCCCTTACCCCACCGACATCACCACAAAACAACTGCCTCCAACTAGTTATTTCTGTAATTAAAAAGTAATGTAACAAGAAGCACAAACAAGCTTCGGGGCTCTAATGGCAACATCACGGCAGAGCTTCAAATAAATTGAACGGAGGCCCGTAAGGACGGAAGCTTTTTTCATGCCGCAGGAAATGCAATGCTATGATATCCCAGCGTTTTCAGAGATAACAGGTTGAGATAGCTATAGGCTGCAATCCATAACGAATTTCACTTTGCAAGCTATGATGTTCTACTTTCTGTTATTTATATTGATCTAGAAAAGGGATATTAAGGGACATTCCTAAAAGCTACTTTGTGCTAAGGTACGAGTGTCAATTTGTGCATAACGTAAAGTACCGTTCAAAAGTTTACATTTAGGAAGATTTTTAAAGTCTTTCTTTTGCCCACTACTGCTATATTTATTTTTTATTAAAAAAACACAGTAAAAACAGTAATATTGTAAAATATCATTACAGCATAAAATAACTGTTTTCTATTCATTTCTTTTTAATTGGAATTTATTCCTGTGATTGCAAAGATGAGTTTTCAGCTTCATTACTCCAGTCTTCAGTGTCACATGATCCTTCAGAAATCATTCTAATATGCTGATTCGCTGCTCAAGAAACATTTCTAATCAATGTTGAAGACAGTTGCCTAATACTTGGACACAGTGATCATGTTTTTTCAAGATTCTTAGATGAATAGAAAGTTCAAAAGAACAGAATTGATTTGAAATAGAAATCTTTTCTAACATTATTAATGTCTTTACTGTCACTTTTGATCAATTTAATGCAACCCTATTAAATAGAAGTATACATTTCTTTAAAAAACAACTTTTGATCGATAGTGTAACTAAGTAACAAATGATAAATGAAATATAAATTAAGAAATCAAAATAAAGGAGTTAATAAAGGTTGTACTTTTATTATTAATGAACTTAACCCAACTTGTATGCACAAATGCACACAGCAATCCTTCATGCACTCTTAAAGAGATAGTGGGTTAATTAAAGGGTTAATACGCCTATCCATTTAAATTAGTACATCTAAATCTTAAATTAGGCAGTAACAATTAGAAACTCCATCTTGATCATCTAAAAAAAAAAGTTACAAAAAAAATGGCCTTTTGACAATTTTTGTTTGTTTGATAA